TGTTGCCGATTAGTAAAGTAGGACTTGAACTATGCAAGGAGGGAGGAGAGGCGGTGGAGGATGATGGTGTGATCGGCTGTGGAGAGGTGCAGAAAGTTGAGGAGGCAGAGGGAGCCCTGGTCACAGAGAGAGAGGACGTCATTTGTTACTTTGACGAGTGTTATCTCTGTACTGTGAGCAGGGTGAAAAATGGACTGGAGGGGTTTGAGTAGAGAGTGGAGGGAGAGGCGTGAGCAAAGTTGATTTGCAACGACGCGTTCCAAAACTGATCACAAAGGGCAGGTTTGAGATGGGTCTGAAGTGTGTGAGGTTGGAGGGATTGAGGATATGTTTTTTAAGGAGAGGAGTGATGATGGCAGTTTTGAGGGGGAGTGGGACAGAGCCTGAGGAGGGGGATTGTTTGATTGTGTCAGCCTGTAGTAGGCAGAGGAGGGAGAGTTGACTGACCAGAAGCTGGGTGGGGAGGGAGTCAAATCATTAGGTGGTGGTCGGGGAAAGGGAGAAGGGAGGGATGCGGGCAAAGCAGTGAAGGGTGGGGGTCATGGTAGGAGGAGAGGGTGGTGAAGCAGGAGGTCCCAGCTAGGCAGATGTTGTCTATCTTGGAGATAAAGAAATCCAGAACCTCTTCATACTTGGCATCTGAAGTGAGGATTGAGGACACTTGAAAAGGAGCGTGGTGGAGGTGGTATGTTGTGGAGAACAGGATTTGGGGGCTGTTTTTGGCCTAGAGGATGTCCTGTGAATAGAAGGTGGTTTGGGCTTGAGAGAAAAGGTGGCTGTTGGTGTGAAGATGCTCAACTCACAGTGGCCAGCGAACCGTGAGGCCAGTTTTGTGCCATTTGCGCTTGAGCAACCGGGTTTGGGATTTAAGGGAGGGGAGGTGACTACTGTACCGGGGGGAACAGGTAGGTTTGGAGATGGTTCTGGATTTCAGAATTTTAATTCTCACAAGAGAATTAAAGGTGGAGGAGAGGCAATCGTTAAGCAGGTTGACGGCTGTATCAGGATCGCTGCAAGTAGAAACCAGAGAGAGACAGTCCAAGGCTGAGAGGACGTTTGTGAGGGACTCGAGCGGAAGTCTTTTCCATGGGCAGAAAAAGATGATGGAAGGTTTGGAGGAGGGGGATACTGGAGGAGAGGGAGATGAAGAAGTGGTCAGAGATGGTCTTGTCCATGATTGACAGACCAGAGATGTCTAGGCCATGGGTGATGACGAGGTCAAGTGGGCGGCCACGAATGTGGGTTAGGGAATTAATATGGAGGGTGTGGTTTAGGGTGGAGGGGAGAGCAGTCAGAGGAGTTGGGGCAGGAGTTGAGGTGAAGGTTGAAGTCGCCCATGATGAACAGGCGTTCAGTGCAGAGGAACAGGAGATATCCTTGAGGAAGGAGCCAGGAGTTTCGAGGAGGGTGGGGGGGGGGGTGGGTGGGTGGTGCGGCGGTAGACTAGGAGAATTTTGAGATAGAGAGAGGAATGATTGGGCATGGTGATGTGCTCAAATAAGGAGAAACATCCAGAGGAGTAGGGGAACAGACCGAGGGAGGTTTGTGAGATGAGGGCTACCCACCACCGCGACGGTGGGGTCAGGGGGTGTGGTGGAAAGTATAGCCAGTGGATAGGGTGTGGTGAGGGGGACGGGGTCGCCGGGGGTTAGCCAGGTTTCTGTGAGCTCTAGGATATCAATATGTTCATCCAGGATGAAGTTGTGGATGGCGAAGGCTTTGTTTGAGAGGGAGCGGATGTTTCGGAAGCCAATGCGAAGAGGGGGGCTGATGGGAGAGGGGCTGGGGGCAGAGGGGCGTGGAGGAGTTGCAGGTTGTAGGGAGAAAATGGCCACGGATGTGAGTTAAGGAATTAATATGAGGGTGAGGATGAAGGCTTCACACCAGTCCACCAGTATCCCTAAACCTATCACTGCAGGACTTTGCTGGACCCTAAACTCCTTACCTATCCTAAACCTTACCAACACTTTGCTGCATAGTCTGAGATGTGATCCTGTGTGAAGAGCATTGTATAATTGCTATTGTTGACACTGAGGCCAGTTATAGTATTCACATCAATTACTGGACTGAGCTAATTAATTTCCAGACCAGGGCACTTCACCATCTGTATGGCTGTCCTTTATCATGTGGCACAAACTGAGGCTGAACTGTGGCGAGTTTGCATGCTCTAGACTATTTATCAGTAACCTGGGCCAATAGAAAAGTGCAGTTGCACTTTTTCTGCAGAATCCGCGACAAACACCCTCCTCAGCTACAAACCGGGCTGTAAGATGTAGTTTCTGGCCCCAGGTCTCGCGCTGTTTACTCAACACTAGTCTGGGGTCCAGCAGGGTGCTGCAGTGAGGGTTAGGCTCGAATCGAACACGCATTCGTGGGAAATGGGATTCACTGTTGTGATTGTCTGCGTGTGTCTCTATGTGAGTCTCTATGTGAGTGTGTCTGTGTGCCTTTCTCTATGTGCTTGTGTCTGTGTGCCTCTCTCCCTCTATGTGCTTGAGTGTCTGTGAATGTCTCTTTCTTCTGTGTGGTGCGGTGTCCCTCAGGGCTCTGTCCTCGGTCCCCTCCTCTTCACCCTCTATATGCTCCCCCTTTGGTGACATCATCCGCAGACATGGGGTTAACTTCCACATGTATGCGGATGACACCCAACTCTACTTTTCCTCCACTACCCCCAACTGCACGACCACCGATGTCCTGACAGCTGCCTGTCCGACATCGAGTCCTGGACGAGAGACAACTTCCTTCAGCTCAACGTGCGCAAAACTGAGGCCCTCCTGATTGGCTCACGTCAGCGCCTCCGCACCTCAGGCGCTGACAGCATCAGCATCCAAGGCTGCACTCTCCACCTCTCAAAGCCATCAGGAACTTCGGTGTTCTGTTCGACCCTGAGCTGTCCTTCCTCCCTCATATCCGCGCCACAACTGGCACCGCCTTCCATCACCTCTGAAACATCGCCAGACTACGGGACTACCTCACCCCTCACGCGGCTGAAACTCTGGTCCACGCTTTATCACCTCAAGGCTGGACTATGGGAACTCTCTCCTCGCCGGCCTTCCCGGCACCTCCCTCCACAAGCTGCAGGTCATTCAGAACTCTGCAGCTCGTGTACTGTCCCGCACCAGACACCGCGACCACATCACTCCCACCCTCGCTCGCCTCCATTGGCTCCCCATCCCCCAGAGCATCGAATTCAAGATCCTCATCCTCACCTACAAGGCCATTCACGGCCTTGCACCCTCCTACCTACTATCCCCCTACTTACCTGCCCGTACCCTCCGTTCCTCTGGCTCTGGTCTGCTCCACATCCCCCGCCCCAACCGCCCGACCATCGGTGGCCGGGCCTTCAACCTCTCGGCCCCTCGGCTCTGGAACTCCATCCCCCAGTGCCTTCGCCGCCTCCTCCCTTTCCTCCTTCAAGGCCGGTCTCAAGACCTTTCTCTTCGACCGTGCCTTCAGCTCCCCTCTCGACTCTCTACCCCCTCCTCGCCCCTCCCTTCCCTCCCCTCACCCTGACCATTTCCCCCCTGCTCGGGTCCTGACCCAACTGTCCAGCACCTTGAGACGTCCTCCCGACCTGAAAGGCGCTCTATAAATGAAATCTTGTTGTTGTATGTGTGACTGTTTGTGAGGGTCTCTGTGTAAGTCTGGGTGTCTCTCTCTGTATGTGAGTGTCTGTATATCTTGTCTATATGTGTGTTTATGAGTGTCCTCCTGTCTTTGTTTCTGCAAGTATGTTGCTCTCTTTCTCTCTGGGTCTCTGTCTCAGTGTATGGTGCTGGGCCCTCAGGTGGTGAAGAATAAAAATGGCCACCCAGTTTTTGTTGAAGCATTTAATATTTCTTTGTAACAATCTATGTTACTTGCTCACGTTTAGTTTTTTTAGCAATAAAGTGAAAAAATGTAGGTTGGCAGTAAACTGTATCTCAATCAACCCACCGCAATTTTTGGCAAATATTTCCACTTTTCTATTGGCCCTGGCAATAACCACGCTGCCCAACTGAACCGCGATTTATGACAGCACTAAGCCATAGACAGAGGCTCACTCCTTCCAGCCAAAGTGTTTACTAGTAACTAGTCAAGTGTAGTGACCGTTTTGGGGAATGGAAGGAAAATAATATGGAAAATGAGAAGGACCTGGGGGTCCTGATTGACAATAAATTGAAGCTCTCCCAACAATGCTCTGTGGCAGTGAGTAAAGCAAACCAGATGTTGGGATGTATCAAAAGATCAATAGCAATCCAAAATAATGAGGTAATCCTGCCACTGTATAAATCATTGGTGAAACCATAGTTAGAGTACTGTGTACAGTTCTGGTCGCTGCAGTGCAAAAAGGATATTGAAGAAATCGAGAAGATACTATAAGGAGGGCAAACAAAATGATTGAGGGAATGGAGGGACTGGACTATGAGGAGTGACTAAGTTTGGGCATGTTCACGCTGGAAAAGAGAAGATTGAGAGGCAACATGATTGCTGTCTTTAAGATTCTAAAGAGACTAAATAATATAAATCATGACAGCCTGCTTCAACTTGTCCAGAATAGGAAAACCAGAGGACACGGCTTGCGATTGAAGGGGGTAAATTCAGAACAATCTACGCAAACATTATTTCAGTGAGCGAATAGTGAATGTGTGGAACAGGCTCCCTGGGGAGATGGTTGGAACAGGAAGTGTTGATTCTTTCAAACAGATGAGTTTTCTTTTAGAAAGCAGTTCAGGACATATGTGCACACGACCTTGGAAGGCGAACTAGATGGATCTTGGTCTTTTCTCATCTAACATTTTTTTATGTTCTGTATTTGGAGCAGCAAGACTCTAAAAACAGCCATGAGACAAATGACTAATCTATCTGGAGGTTTGCTGTACAGACTTCTGTGAGAAAACAGTTCAAGCTTATTCAAGATACAAAGAATGGTGCATTGTTATCATGATGTAAGAGCACCATGTAAGTGTATAAAGTGCTGTATCTGGAGCAAGCAGGAGAAATGCTTTAAAAACATCAGAAAGAATGGAAGTAGTTTATTTCAAAAAAAGATGAGAACTGAAAATAATGTTCACAAAAGCAGTAATAAAGTAAAACAGACTCATCATGGGGCTTATTTCAATACACACACACGGAAAATCTCATTAGCCAAATTAATCTCTTCACAAAATACATCAAGTTCCAGAAAAAGGAAACCAAAGCAAAGTCAATGTTAGAAAACCCATTTGAACAGAGAATTACATTTAGAACCCGAGTGCGTTGCTAGAAATACACATGGGTGTCTTCACCGTGATGACCCAGACAGGTACGTTGCCTATTTTAATCATTCACTCCCCATCTTTGCCCCAACCCATTCCTCTGATTCAATAGCGCTTTCAGAAGTTGCAACGATGCAATCAGGGCACTGTACCCAGAACAGTATGTTAAATACATACCAATGAGCAAACCTGACCCACCCCTTAACTAAATAGACTAAAACTGTGTATATGTACATAAACACCCTAATTTATTCCTGCTTGGCAGGAAGAGCAATACTGTTCTACCAATCAGGTGGCTCCTTGAAGAGGTCTTCGAAAGCCAAGCAAAGCAAATATTGTATAAAATCTCATAAGCCTGTTTGCCCTCTACTGGCAAATTAGGCAAGAGGTCAAAGGCCTGCAACCCAAGCCCATCAGCCTTCCAACCCAACTGTAGGCTCACATCAATCACGTATGCTCACTGTAGGTTGTGATTCATTCAGGCCACTAAACCCATTCATCACCCGAGCTGCATTCTCCCGTAAGCAGACTGCTCTGCATCATCAAAGGCTTCTGCGGAAACCAAATCTGCACCTCAGGTGAGTCATCAAAATGGCAGCCGTGGGAAACAAAGGATAGCAGCGAGAGGCATCAAGTTTGGATTATTTTTTAAAATCCAGTTTCTTGGGTACAGGGCTCACAGACTATTGATGGAAGTTTAAATGTAAATATAGAGCTCAAAGTTGAACTGGATTAAGTTTGGAGAGGTGGTTAGATTTGTGCCTAATAATCCAATGCGGGCTGTTCTTGCTGTAGTGACAGTTCCTCCAATTAGTAGAAACTGAGAGGCAGCACTAGCCATCATCTGTCCTTCCCAGAAAAAAGGGGCAAGGGAAAGCATCCATAAGAGGAAAAAGAGGCAAAGTACCTGCTAAGGTAACAATCCTTTGACTCAACTGCGACATAAATTGATAAAACGCTGCATAAACTTTACAAGTCTGTCGTAAACGCCAATTTGGGACTGTGTGAAAGGTCAATCATTTGAATGCAGTCAAAGCAAAATGCTTGTGCAATTTTAATGCCCACTAGTGTGCTATTGGATCCCTGATCAGAAGTAGAGTCTTGCTGGAATTATATATAGCTGCTTTGAACAACCTGAATCAAGTGCAGCTCCAGAAACATAATCCCTTCCCACTCGCACCCGTTCCAGTAGCGAAATTTAACAAGCCTACAGCGTTTCAGACGTCCTCTTCGTACCCCCACCCCACCACCAATGTTTTAACATACGACCAAAATCAGAAGGCTTTAAAAAGACCACAATAAATTACTTTCCATTCATTTGTACAGTCAGACCAAGGAATCAAATCCTTCATCAGCATTTCTCCTCTCGCTCTCCTTTAACTACAGCGAACATGAGAACTGATCAACCTGTTGCCCTTTGCACAGGTCCGACCAGTACAGTTAAAAGCTTGGCACACCAGGGCTATTAGTGAGCCAAAAAAACAGAATCTTTCTTAAAAATAAGCAAGAATGTAGATTCTCATTTTAAAGTGTATCTTAAATGACGGTAACTGGTGTCCACACACTCGTTCCCACTCTTATTTACCAGTGCAGAGAAAAGAGAGATGCACTGAAATGAAGAAAAAAAAATTAAATGGAGCTGCTGCATTGTAATGTGTTGTGTGTGGTGGTGGGGTAGGGGGGCGCAAAGAGAACATTACATTTACATACTGCAGAGCAATACTCAAATGCTCGGGGATTATTGAATGGAATTTGGTGAGAAAACTTACATTGACAAATATTTAGTGACCCAAACCAACACAAAGAGGACACTTTCTGATCATACGCAGACAGGTGCAGGTTGGATAGGGATTTCAGCACTTACGCACCTCACCATTGGTAGCCAATTGACACTTTTAGGTAGCCGGTGGATTCTAGACAATATCCAAGACGACTGCCAGAGACAATGAGCCGCGGAGCTTGCCAGGATCCACGTGACGATCGGATCTTCATTTGGTTTTGGGAAGGAGGGGTGTGGGCGGGTGAATTCCATTCCATGATTTAAGTTGCGTACTTGGAAACGTGCGTTTGGCCGACAAGCCAAGTAGTTAAAATTAACCAGTTAGATAATAGGTTATTGCAACTGTGTCCTACACTAGTTTCTTGGCTTCAAAGAAGCTTTTCAAATGCCTCATCTGCCAGATTCCAGTCAGAATGAGGATCAGTGTTTGCACAATTGACCACCACAGGACTCGCTGGTTGGTGCTCTCGCTTGTTCCCCGAAAACGTTCCTCACGGTACTGCAACAGAAAGAGATCAAATTATCTTGTAGTCCTCATTATTAAGGATCAATCTGGTTAAAGCTGCCACACTATACACAGCTAAACAACCTAACAATGAGGCTCTTTAATTTGTTTGATAAAGTGCCATATAAGAGACTTACAAGCAAAATAGAAGCCCACACTATTAAAAGGACAGTGGTACAGAACTGGCTGGGAGACAGAAAGCAGAGCGTGGTGGTGAACGGTTGTTTTTCTGACTGAAGGGAAGTGTGCAGTGTCCCCCCCAGGGGTCAGTATTGGGACCACTGCTGGACTTGTGTATAGAGAGTACAGTTTCCAAGTTTGCATTTGATACTAAGCTAGGAAAGTAGTAAACAGTGAGAAGGATAATAGCAGACATGGACAGACTGGTAAAATGGGCAGATGGCAAATTAAGTGGATAATTACAAAGTGAGGCATTTTATGAGGAGAGGCACTATAAGATGATGGTAGAATCTTAAAGGGGGTGAAGGAACAGAGAGACCTGGGGGTTCATAGAAGTAAATCTTTGAAGGTGGCAGGACAGGTCGATAAAACTGTCAAAAAAGCATACGGATAGAGGGCTTTACAAATAGGGGCATAGAATACAAAAGTCAGGAAGTTATGATGAAGCTTTGTAAAAAACTGGTTAGGTCTCAGCTAGAGTACTGTGTTCAGTTCTGGGCACCACACATTAGGGAGGATGTCAAGGCATTGGAGAGGGTGCAAAGGAGATTTACCAGGATGGTACCAGGAATGAGGGACTTCAGTTATCAGGAGAGGCGAGAGAAGCTGGGATTATTCTAAGATCCTCTCCTCATCTACAAGGCCATTCACGGCCTTGCTCCCTCCTACCTCTCCGACCTATTATCCCCCTACTTACTTGCCCGTACCTTCTGTTCCTCTGGCTCCGGTCTGCTCCACACCGCCCACCCTAACATCGGCGGCCGGCTTTCAGCCTCTCAGCCCCTAGTCTCGGAACTCCATCCCCCAGTGCCTTCGCCGCTTCCTCCCTTTCCTCCTTCAAGGCCGGTCTCAAGAACTTTCTCTTCAACCGTGCCTTCACCTCCCCTCTCGACTCTCTACCCCCTCCTCGCTCCCCTCACCCTGACCATTTCCCCCCTGCTCAGGTCCCGACCCAACTGTCCAGCGCCTTGGTACGTCCTCCTGACGTGAAAGGCGCTCTATAAATGAAATCTTGTTGTTCTTGTATTCTCCTTGCAGCAGAGAAGGTTAAGAGGAGACCTAATAGAAGTTTTCTAAATTATGAGGGGTTTCGATAGGGCGAACAAGGAGAAACTGTTTCCACTGGCGGGTGGGTCGATAACCTGAGGACACCGATTTAAAATAGTTGTTAAAAGAAACAGAGGGGAGGTGAGGAGAAATGTTTTCACACAGCGACTTGTTTGGATCTGGAATGCATTGCCTGAAAGGGTGGTGGAAGCCGATTCGATAACAACTTTTAAGAGAGTAAGAAAGCAGATGAACTGCCAAAAAAAGTGTGAGAATTGTTAAATGGATGCTGGCAAAAATGTAAAATTCTGCTTCATTTTACAGTCCAGGAGAATACAATAATGACGCCCTATTTTAACTCTACCTCAAGCAAACCATTTAGCTTTAGCAATATGTCTACCACCCCTTACCATGTAACCATAGAGGTTACAACATTACAGATCAACTTAGCAACCCAACATTACTGGACCACGGCTCCTTAAACATCACTGTGCCGTCACTCCCACAGGTATGACTGCCCTCATTTTTCTTGAGTTTGATTACTGCCTCAGATCCACCCATTTTCACTCACCCGTTGGTAGTTCTGTTCCTTCTGGATCTGCTCCGCTTGTTCAATCAGTTGTCTCACACGGAGCTGAAGCTCTGACAGCTTGTCCTTGGCTGCAATCTGCTCATAATCATTGGCATGTTCACCAACCTGGATATCCAGGTGAACCCGCTGCACAAAGAGAGGGGAAAAACTTCCTGTCAAAGACCATTCAGTTTCTAGAGCAACAACCACCACACAATAGTGACTGGCCAGTGATGGTTCAGCTGTAGGACATGGGCCACCCACCTGGCAGTATCTCCAAAACTACCTCAATCAATAGTCAGAGAAATAAACACAGGGATAGCTAAACCTTCTGCAGCAAGGGGAAAAAAAAGCTTACTAAAAATTAAACCACAGCTGCATTCCTGCCTGGCATAAAGCACACATGTCTTCAAACAGGATCCTCCCATATTAATCCAAGACCTGGTTAGGAACGTTAGTCCAATTCATTCTGTGACTCACCACTCCCAAGGCAGAGAACTCAATTATTCTAAGAAATTCCAATAAAGTTACTTTTGGCCATGCACAGACCAATATCAAATGCGAATGCAAGGATTATCCGAAATGAGATTATCTAGATGTATTTGGATTTAATTTTGGCAGTTCATCTGCTACCAAATATTACAGCCAGAGTGAGCCATTTTTTAGAACTCGATCTGGCCGCATTTGTGAAGGTACCAAAAGGAGACAGTAAATTGGTTAATAATAATAATCCTTGCACTTGATACAGCGCCTTGTGACATCATGCACTGACTGTATATTTTGTGGTTCAGCAAATTGCGCACAGCCGTGTCCCACAAACAGTTGTGGATTGAGTGACCACAACTAAGGGATTATTACCACCGGAAAGTGATCCGCCGAACGACTAACAATCGAGCTCCTACTTACTGCCAGGTAAACAGGGCAAGATAAGCAACAAGAACAAGGTTAACAGGACTTAAGCAAGATTGCAACAATTCTCCCCTCTCCAAACCCCACTGTGTAGGCAAAGATTATTCCAGGATTAGATCAATGCCCTTTTCAAAGATATGCATTATTTAAATTAAGAATTATAACTTAATTTCAATAAATGTCCCAAACGTCTACATATCCCACATACTAGCAGAACTGGCTTATCAGCTCAGCGTTCATACAATTAGTCACATTTCAGCAAATCCAGCTAACAATTACAAAACTGTAGCTCCTTCAAGACAGGAGGAGGGGCTTCATGAACATTATAGAAACTTAGTTGTCCTTTCAATATTTAAGATGAAAAACCCTCCCCTTCTCTCTTCCACTGCCCCCCAGACCCCTCCCTCCGCTCCCTTTCTCGACCCCCCCCTCACCTCCACCTCTCTCACGTCCTGCGCCCTCCCCTCTCACATTTCTATATTGGTCTTACTGTAAAATGTAACTGGATCTTTCCTTACCAGCATTCCCGATGCAAAAAGGGAGAGTTTGGTAGAATTGGAGTGAAGGCAGATCTGATGTTCTCCTGGAATGTGGGAGGTGAAAGTGAACCTTCCTTCAGACGCGTACTGTCTCGAGAGAACAACCTACATAGGAGGACGAAGGAAAATTGTAATCTGCATTCAGCATTTGATTTTAGCACCTGCTCCCCTTTCTCTATAATGTTGTGATAATAAATCTAATAAATCTCTATACTAAGTGCCTGCAGGAGCAAGCCCTGTTTTGTCAGTAATGTTAAATCGCTCAAGGCCACTGTGGATGCAGACTGCCAGCCAGTGAAAGCATTACAATCATTTCACAGGATTGAGAGCACCTGCCTGGGAATACAAGTTACTACTCCAATTCTTAATGTTTGCATACCTCACTCTCAATGAGCACACTTAAAAACAGATCTTAAAGACCAAACTGTCAGATATAATTAAAAGACTAGTTTATAAAGATAATTACAACAACCTAGCTCTGCTAGAATATACCATACCTTTTCCTCTGGGTCCTTCACTTCCACAAACATCCCCAGTCCCTGCGGAGATGGCAGGTATTCCTCCCTCTGTTTGTCGTACATCAGAGTTTTGTAGTTACCTTAAAAAAAAGCAAAACCATAGGCAATTTTTTTAACTCCACAAGCCTCTGTTTATCTAGCAGTAAGTAAGAACCCGGTTGTTAGTCAATTGGTGGATCGCTTTCTGGGGGTAATAGGCCCTTCCAAAAAATAACTACAAAAAAAAATTTGCGCACCCAATCCACAACTGTTTGTGGGACACTGTTGTGCAAAATTGACTGCTGCATTTCACCCACATACTATACAGTCAATTCAATTTACAGTATATTTTGTGAGGGGCTTTCAGACATCTCAACTCTGTGATAAGACGCTATATCAAATGCAAGGATTATTATTATTAATAATTCAATTGAAATAAAAAAGTTATACAAATGATCGTCAACCATGTCATTGCATTAACTTCACTGCTGGTCAGCAACTGTATGCCAGGAAAGAGAGGGGGAGAATAAATCTAGAGTAAATAATCATTAAAGCTGTCTGTTAACGACAGAAAAATGCATATCACTGCTGTAGCCACTAAACTTTGCAACAGAAAGGGTTCTGATAACATTAATAGCAGGTCACTGAAACAAACAAAACACCTTCTCTGGGTTACACCACCACAGCAATCTATGTAATTCTATGCATTCATTATGTAGAGTACACGTGGTTCAGAATGCACTAAGGTTGGCAGCACAATTGAACAACAGTAACATCAGACTGTACCAACAAACCTACCGATGCGTTTGTGGCCTCACAGTCCCTGCCATGATCTGAATCGTTACAACACACTGAGTTCACTTCCTTACACAGGGGGAGAATACCGGAAATAGTCACAAGACGGCCGTAATGTACTCCTAAAGGCTGATTTTCAGTGATTAGCAGAGGTGTGGAAGCAGAAGGTGCATGAATAGCACAAACACAGACAAGACAAAAGAACGACAGGCAACATGTTATCAAATACAGAAGTAGAAAGATGAAACTCACATCCGATTTCATACCCACGTCAAAGCATCACCTACAAAACGCGCAGTCACTACAATTCACAGTAAAAATTCTGTGAAGTGCTTTAAAACATTTTGATGATGTGAGAAGGCGTGACATCAAATGCAAAGATTATTAAGGATTAGCATTATAAAGTGCCTCCAAAATGAGTTAATGTTATCCCTTAGACAAATGTTACTGTTAATATGGCCAGCAAAATCCCACAAAGACCAACAACAGTGATCAATAAAGTCATTACTCCTCTTCAAAACATTGCCTTGAACATCCACCTGAATGTGACTAGTCCTCAATTTAAAGCATCTTCCAAAAGACAACACTTTCAACAATGCAGCACTCCATCACAATAATGATGGCTTTAAGGCTCAAATTCATATCATGGAGGCAATGAGTCCTACCAACTGAGTCAAGCTGACAACCGTCCTTGTTAAAAAAATGTTTTCATTAAAATACTCAATCCTTTTTTCACATCAATAGTAACCTGACCTGATGCAGGTTAAGCTTGTGGTATATTAAGACGTGGGCCCAATCGTTTCTCCCTCATGGAACTGAGCTCCTGGGCATTGTATTCAAGGCTTTGCACCAGGCAATTTGAAAAGTCCAGGACCAAACTATGAAGTGGATTTGTGATAAAAAGAGTAAGGGGCAGCAGAGAAGGATTCCCTTAGCATACACTGTACCCTTTGTTAACACCACTTACACGTGGACCTAGATTAAACCTGCTACACTGCATTTGACCTGGATGTTTAAAAGATCTATATCACCAAAAATTGTCCTGAACAGGTCTTTCCACCATACAAATTACTGATGAGGAAACTCTGAGGCATGGGATGGCTGCTGATGGGAGTCCAAGTTCATGAATACATGCTTACGTATCCAGGCCTTGGTACCCAACCTGATTGATACGCAGAGGCAAGCAACTGCTGCTGAACCTCCAACTGATGGAGTCATTTCTTCCATGGGTAGACTTTGAGCAGGATGATGGCAATGCATTTACACATTCAAGCTAAGTTGGTCTACTATGTTGTAGCTTGCAAGAAGTTCCTAGCACCTACTATCAACCAAGTAATTCAGCCCCATGCTGGTCAAATGTCTAATGACCAACGAATGACTATTCTTCCTCATGAGGTCGCATCGGGATTCAGTGCAATTCAACATTGGCACCCAGCTGACAATGGAATATCTCTGTGGCTGCCTCAGTAATTCAGTTACATAGATATAACAGACATAGAAAGAGCTATTCAGCCCCTCAAGCCTGTTCCACCAGTTTATTAAATCATGGTTGGTCTGTACCTCAAATCCACTTACCCACCCTTGCCCCATATCCCCTAATACCCTGACCTAACAAATATTTATCTACCTCCATTCGGTGCCAGGTAGACAAATGCTTATCTACCTCCATTCAGTGCAGTACTCCAAGGCACACCTGAAGATGTACCTCTCAGCCGGGTTCATCAGCAGGACTTGGAGGTACTCATTGATCACTGGGGGTAGAGATTCACCCACTCAGCTCCTGATAACCATGCAAGCCAACATCCACTTCCACATTTATCCCTCAACAGGCAGAAGAGCAATTCTAACTGGACAAGGAGCATGAGGCTTACTAGTGCTCAGAGCTGCAGTTTTCACTGGCGAAACTCCCAACACTACCCTAAAATAGACTCTGGGGTCCCCATGTCATGACTAATGAACCTGCACTAGGTAAGCAAGGTTCATTGAGAATGCATACTCCAAATAGACACATGGAAACCATACAGCCTGGCTCAGTTGTAGCACTCGCACCTCTGAGTGAGAAGGTTGTGGGTTCAAGCCCCACACCAGGACTTGGAATCGCATAGTCTAAGATGACATTCCAATGTAGTGCTTGAGGGGGATGGGAGTTGAATTATCAGAGGTGCTGTTCTTTGGATAAGACATTAAACCGAGGTCCCATCTGCTTGTTCAGGTGAACATTAAAGATCCCATAACATTATTCAAAAAAAGAAGAGTTTCACCCAGTGTCCTGAGCAACAATACGCCAAATAAAACTGGTTACTCACTCAATCGCTGTTTGTGGGACGTTGCTATGCGGAAAACTGCACATGCATTTCACCCATAAAATACTGTCACTATACTATAGTATTTCCTGTGAAGCATTTGGGACACCTCAACAATGTGATAAGGCACTACATCAAACACAATAATTATTATCATCATTACTATCAAAAAAAAATATTTGGTCACCCAATCCACAACTGTGGGCAATTGACTGCTGCGTTTCACCAAACAATATATAGGCAATTCACTTTAGAATAATAATAATCTTGCATTTGATATAGCACTTTTCACATCTTCTAGACGTCTCAAAGCGCTTCACAGATCACTTTACAGTATATTCTGCGAAACACTTTGAAACATCTCACAGATGTGATAAGGCAAATGCAAGAATTATTATTTTATTAATAATAAAACACACAAGTAGCCCTCGGTTTGGGGACTCTTAAGCTCTGGGTCCCCACGTGTAGCAGACATATATCTGACCAGGACAAGCCATTTAATCTGAACACAAACATTTGTCTGGATTTGAAGATCAGCAACACTTTGCCGTCTGACTTTGTCTTTGGTGTCTGACACACGCGGAACCCCATCACCACCCAAACCAACCTGAGAATTCCTTCCATACAGCCCACCCCCCACATGGGAATCCCAGAGAGAGATGGTTGGGTCACAGCAGAGCTGAGGTCCGGGTCACTGAGCGCTGACCTGACAGCCACACTCCCCCACAGGCCGGCACCGCAGGGGCCGGATGCCGGCTGCTCGCGGGGCCCGGAAGCAGCTTACCTATCACCATGGTTTCGTCCGGAATCTCCTCGATGAAGCACTTCTTCTCCGTCTCGCCGATGTGAAAGTACAGCCCAGCGCACAGGGCAGCCCCGCACCGCAGCAGCACCAGCCAGCGAAGCCACTGAGTTGCCGCCATCTTATCGCACACCGCACCTACTGCGACAGCGCACCCGCTAGTCTCTGGCTGCCGCGCATGCGTGGCATTAGGGCCGGAGCCGGTATGACGCATGCGCTGAAAGTTGTGCCACGTACCATTTAACCGAGTTTCTCACTGTGCTGATTGGCTGTTTTTGGAACTTGACTGGTGATTGGCTGGTTTGGGAGTTAGTTGCTGGTGATTGGCTGGTTTGGGAGTTAGTTGCTGGTGATTGGCTGGTTTGGGAGTTAGTTGCTGGTGATTGGCTGGTTTGGGAGTTAGTTGCTGGTGATTGGCTGGTTTGGGAGTTAGTTGCTGGTGATGGGCTGGTTTGGGAGTTAGTTGCTGGTGATTGGCTGGTTTGGGAGTTAGTTGCTGGTGATTGGCTGGTTTGGGAGTTAGTTGCTGGTGATTGGATTCTTTCTGTACATCTAACAGCAACAACAACAAATTACACTTATAGCCTTCTTCATGTCGGAGAGACCCTCAGGGCACTGAACAGTCCTGAGGAGAGACCCTCAGGGCACTGGACTGGAGCTGGGAGGCCCTGGGCCTCGCACACTGCATGTGCAGGTGTGTAGGGGGTGTTTGTAGCCTAACCAGTGCCTTATAAAGGGATAGCAGAATGTCCTTGTTTTTGAACTCTATGTCTCTATTTGTAAAGCCAAGGATCCTATTTGCTTTTTTTAACAGCTCTATCAACCCACCCCCCACCTTCAAACACCTGTGTATGTGAACCCACAGGTCTCTCTGCTCCTGAACCCCCTTTAAAACTGTACCATTTAGTGTATATTGCCTCTCCTCATTCTTAATAATAATAATAATAATAATCCTTGCATTTGATATAGCGCTTTTCACGTTGGGAGGACGTCCCAAAGCGCTTCACAGAATATACTGTAAAGTGAATTGACTGTATATTTGTGGGCGAACGCGGCAGCCAATTGCGCACAGCAATGTCCCACAAACAGTCGTAGATTGAAAATGACCAATTTATTATTGTTTTGGGTTTTTGGAGGGATTATTATTAGGGGTGTGGAGTAAGGAAACTTACCCAAGGTTTCGCCCTGCCTGGAATTGAACTCAGGTCTCTCACTTGCAAAGCGAGTGCTCTAACCACTGAGCTACAGGACTCCAGAATGCGTCACCTCACCCTTCTCTGCATTAAACTTCATCTGTCATTTCACCAGTCTGTCTATGTGCTCCTGCTACCATACAAATTCCCAAGTTTTGTGTCATCTGCAAATATTAAAATGTTGCTTTCTATACCCAAGTTATTCACATATCTCAAAAAGAGCAGTAGACCTAATACCGACCCCTGGGGGACACCACTGTATATTTCCCTCCAGTCTGAAAACAACCATTCACCACTACCCTCTGCTTTCTGTCTCTCAGCCAATTTTGTATCCATGCTGCCACTGTCCCTTTTATCCCATGGGCTTCAATTTTGTGAACCAGTCTACTATGTGGCACCTTATCAAACGCCTTCTGAAAGTCCATCTACACTATATCAACTGCACTACCTTCATCAATCCTCTGTTATATCATCAAAGAACTCAATTAAGTTTGTCAGACATGATTTGCCTTTAACAAATACGTGTTGACTGTCATTAATTAACTTATGTTTTTCTAAGAGAAAATTTAATTTGTCCCAGATTATGGTCTCCAGAAGTTTCTCCAGCACAGACATTAGGCTGACTGGCCTATAGTTACCTGGTTTATCCCTCTCCTTTTTTGAACAGGGCTGTAACATTTGCAAACCTCCAGTCCTCAGGTACTAGTCCCATATCCTGGGAGGATTGAAAGATTGTGGTCAGAGCCTCCGCTATTTCCATCCTAACTTCCCTCAGCAACCTCGGATGCATCCCATCCAGACCGGCTGACGTTTCTACTTTGAGCGCTACCCACCTTTTAAGTATCTCCTATTTATTTTTATCCTATATAATTTCTCCACCCCCTCCTCCTTTATTGTGAAATTGGCAGCATCCTCTTTTGTGAAGACAGATGCAAAGTTCTCATTCAGTACCTCAGCCGTGACCTTTGCCTCCACAAGAACTTTTCCTTTTTGGTCCCTAATCAGCCCCACCTTCCTTTGACCATCCTTTTACTCTTTTATGTGTTTATAGAAGACTTTAGTATTCTCTTGTATGTTACTATTCTGTAATATTCTATGACTGCAACTAAAATTCCAAATAATTGCTCGAGATTAACTGCTGACATTTCATACAGTTTCAATCCCATTGCAATCTGAATTTTGTGCCCCTGTACCTTACTTTGCTGTTATTCCCCTTTCACTGTGAGCCCCTCCTCCACCCAGGTTGTGAAAGCATCAACGTAAGATTATTTTGTTTATTATTTTCTGTGACAATTAGCAAGGAAAAAATCATCAATTTAACTCTTTCACTGGTTTATGTTTTATAATTAAAATGTTTATTGTATTTTTAAAGCAAATTACATAATACACACATCAAACATGCACTTCTCCAGTACACGGTGAGACAGGGAGCAAAATATCCTCTGGGTGAAGTGTAGTCTTTAACAGAGGGGAGCTTCCAAAGATTGAAGCTCAAATTTCTACACTTCAATTGTATATTAAAATTCCTCCTCTCCCCATAAAACATCAGATTCCATGTACTTATCTCCAAGATTTTGTTCTCACTGTAATATGTCATCGTAATACACTGTAATAGATGCATTCTATTAACAGATCACTCAAACACACACCAGAATAGGTTGATGGCTCTTCAATCTGTTAATGTTCTTTACAATAATAACAACAACTTGCACTTATGTAGCACCTTTCATTTTGAATGAATGTTCTCAAAGCACTTCACAATAGCACCAAAAAGGGAGGAGATGTGGAAGAATTGAAGGATGTCGACCAAAGGCACGGTCAGCGAGATATGATTTTAAGAGGGTATTTGAAGTCAAGGAGTAAAGGAGCAAGATAAAAGGAGGAACTTTCATAACACATAGTGGCTAGGTGTGAGGGAAGAAACACAACCTCATGTATTGCTTAATGATAATCAATACTTTCCTGGAACACACAATCACCTCACACTGATTTTTAAAAATAAGCAAGGGGGAGCTCTGTTGATAACACTCACTTATGACGTTAATAAGGATTCCTCCTAGCTTGATTTATCTGATAAGGTTGCTTTACAGTTCTGCTCAGACAAGATCCATAAACATTCGCAAGCCACTGGTAGGAACTTCCAGCTCTGCTCCACGGCACTGTAGATTTCAACAGCCAACAGTGACAAAACACGATTCGCACATCCAGAGTTGTCACAAGAAGCAATTTGTGGGAATGCATTTTATCTCCTGCTCCAGCTCTGGGCAAACTGCTCCATTGTTGGCAGGCTTCGTATGGATAAAACGTGTCCTGCGGCTGATGCCAAACTGACCACAGTCTCCATCACACAGACCCCAGGAAGACCAAATAGAAACCTCGCAGTCCAATGGGGTTTCTGTAAGAACCAAACAGAGTTGATGCACAGCATTAAAGATTGCTAATTGCCCATTATTTTCACATTGAAGTTGCATCTGTACCTCTGCATCTACATCTCTCACCGGGAATATTGAGGCTTATTGAGGTTGTAGACCCAATAATGATCTTAGCAGAGATCAACTAGCCCCAAAACAGACCAGGAGTTTAACTGGGTATTGTCTGAGTCTCTATGTTTCAGTTACACACTGAGATTCAGCTTTACCAACTAAGATTTTGAAGGAGTGCTTAGACAGAGCAGCAATAATTATTTTAAACAAATAAGGAAATAGAGTAAAGAGGAAGTAGAGTCATACAAAGGTCAGGTTAGGGTAACTAATATATGGATTACAAATGGTAAAAGAAAGTTTGATTGTAAATAAAAGGGGGATTTTTTTTAGCTAGGTATGAAGTGGACAATGTGTTCAAGGTTTCCTTTAAGGGTAAATTGGTAAAATGTAACTGGAGATCAGGAACTGACAGCTGTGTTAAATTAATTCACAAGTGAAGACTTTGGGCAAATTCCAGATCCAGTTATTTTGGCTCAGCAATTGTTAACATGTGTTGAGGTTAGGAAAGCATGTACAGTGAAGCATTAAACATCCACAGGCACCTAGACCAGATGGGATAGACCCTGGAACCCCGCAGCAAATTAGGGAGGCATTATGTGAGATTAAGATTTCAAGACCTCAGTAAATAGAGGGGTTGCACCTGAGGACTGGAGGCTGGGAAATACAGTTCACAACAGAGAGGAGAGAAATAATCAAAGATGGGGAAGGTATTCAAGAGCATTTCACAGGTTACTTTCAGTGCTTGTCTGAAGAATACAGAGGCCATTAGTATAGTCAAGATAATTTTGAAGAAATAAGGCATGACTGAAAAAGCGAATTTGAAAAGGAAAAATTTGCAGGGCTATTGGGTAAGAGTGGAGGAGTGAGACTAGTTGGTAGCTCTTTCAAAGAGTCGGCGTAGGCACGACGGGCTAAATGGTCTCTTTCACCCTCAAATATATGGTCAATTCACTTTACAGTCTATTCTGTGAAGCACTTTAAGACATCTAGAAGATGTGAAAAGTGCTATATCAAATGCAAGGATTATTATTCTGCTCTGTAAGATCTTATAGAAACCTATAAGATTCTTAAAGGTCTTGACTGGGTAGATGCTGTGAGACTGTTTCCCCTAGTTGGAGAGTCTAAAACTAGGGGTCATAGTTTCAAGATTAAGGGTCAGCCTTTTCGAACTGAGTTGAGGAAACATTTCTTCACTCAGAGGGTAGAGAATTTGTGGAATTATCTACCCCAGAAGGCTGTGGATGCTCAGTCCTTGAACATATTCAAGACTGAGGTTGATAGATTTCTAAAGGATAGAGGGATTAAGGAATATGGGGATAAAGCGGGTAAATGGAATTAGGTTGGAAAATCAGCCATGATCTTATTAAATAGCGGGGCAGGCTCGAGGGGCTGAATGTGTCCTGCATCTTATGGTCTTATGGTCTAAGATTCTATGAAATTAGGTGAGAGAAGAAGTTGGAATGAATTTCTGTTAGGCATTCTGAGCTGTTTGATTATGGACTAATAGAAAAGTGTAGCTGCACTTTTCCCACAGAACCCTCCTCCACTACAAACGCACTACAAAAAACATTTCCCTACACAACTGTACACACAGTGTGCTAGGCCTCAACACACAACTGTACACACAGTGTGCTAGGCCTCAACACACAACTGTACACACAGTGTGCTAGGCTCCAGACCTCTCGCGCTGTTTATTTAACGCTGTTATTGCAAGCGGAGCAGCTCCAGTCGTACATGTATGGCGCGGGCAGTGTTGGGATGGCCGGCAGTGTTGGGATGGTGAAAGCGGCATGATTGGGAAATTGGCTTCGCCCTGCAGCCTTAACTGAACTCCTGCGACCAATTCTTGGTATGTGCTGTACTATTCAAATTAACATTTTTAGTATTTTAAACATAATTACATGTTCAGGAAATATATTCTTATAGTTTTAATCTGGGTTTTTCACAAAATGCGTTTCTCAATAGCACCAACCAACCCTCAAAAAAAAATTCCGCAAAACCATCAAAGGTCTCCGCAATATGTGGCAAATATTTCCACACTTTTCTATTGGGCCAGATTATAAATTGAAAGAAGGTACTTCTAATTCTTTGGTGAGATTATTTAGAATATTTCCTTCAATCTAATTTTTAAAACATATGTTAATGCATTGAAGAGGATTCAGAAACTTTCTGGAATTCACATTACTGACTTTAAAGGAGAAATCGGTAGATTCAGGTGGGCTCATCAGAGCAAAGGTACACAAAAGGACATGATTTAACTCCTTATAATGGATTCAGAGATGCCAAGACAGCAGAACAATCAGACAAAGATCCAGGGGTGAAGTGTCTGACACCAGGAAGCGTGCCTTTACACAAAAGATAATCAACAGCTGAAACATGCTTGCAGGAAGAATGGCTGTAGCCTGGCATTTGTCCTACCTGAGAGTATCTCACTTTCTCTGTCTGGAGAAATTAAGTTGAACTTCATAGCAGGCATTCCAACTAATTGTTGCCCCTTTGACTTGTGCAGCATGACCCGTGCCATTGGTGGGAGGTGGTGAAGTCTGGGATAGTAGAATGAATTTGCACGATGATTAGGAAAGCTTGATGTGATCTGAAAGAAGATTTAATAATGATGTTACTCCACTTATAAAAAATCAACATGCTTTCAGTCACTAATGATAAAGAATGGATGTATTGAGGGTCACTGTGCATGTTTCAAAGCATCTCCATATCCACATTGTTCCTATCCATTTCTGTTAAATGAGGATGGATCGTATTAGTCCAGATCTATGCAGATAGTGTGGATTCCAGACATCTGAAATTTCTGTTTTAAAACTTCAAATCTTAAATTCAATCTTAATTTGGAACTTGGTTTCTGTAGTTCTTTAAACAGGATTCCAAATAGGACTGAATTTAAGATGGTCTCAAAATTCTACACAATCTTAAACTAAAATGCCTTCAGGCTAAAATCATAAGAAGTTGGTGGGTTTGATCCGTGATTTTCTTTATCAACTGATTTGGATGGATTTAAATCCACCAGGGTCTTGATTAATAATGCTGAGTTTTTGATCAGTTGATTTGGATTCATGGTAGAAGAATATCTCATCAAATCTTGAGGGTGTACATGTGGTTTTTACAGGATAATTGTTCTTGCTTTCCATAGACCTGACCCAAGTAACAAATTACATTCTGTCCATCTGTGACCAGGGCACCGTCTGCCTCCTCATCCTCCTTGACCTCTCTGCTGCCTTCGACACCATTGACCACTCTATCCTCATCCACCACCTCTCCTCTCACCCTTCATGGCCCTGTCCTTGATTGGTTCAGATTGTACCTCTCACACCACCTCCACTTCATCTCCACAAACGTTTTCTCCTTAGTCCCCGCACCACCTGGTGCGGCATTCCTCAGGGCTCTGTCCTTGGTCCCTTCCTCTTCAATATCTATATGCTCCCTTTTGATGACATCATCTGCAGACATGGGATCAACTTCCACATGTATGAGCATGATACCCAACTGTACCTCTCTGTCTCCACCCTTGACTCCAGGACAACTGCTGTCCTGACAGAATGTCTGTCAGACATCAAGTCCTGGATGAGAGCTAACGTTGTTCAGTTGAATGTCAACAAGACCAAGACCCTCCTGATTGGCTCCTGTCAGCACCTCCATACCGCAGGCACTGACAGCATCACCATCCATGGATGCACACTCCACATGAAGCTTGGCTTTTTGTTTGACCCTCAACTGTCCTTTCTATGCAACATCCATTCCATAATCCATTCTGCCTTCCCCCACCTTCGCAACATTGCCCGGCTCCTCATACATTGATTCATTACATCGAGGCTTGACTATGCAAACACCTTGCTTGTTGGCTTCCCCAGCTCCTCCCTCCATAGGCTGCAGATTATCCATAACTCTGCAGCCCATGTTCTCTCCTGCACCAGGCTCCGTGACCCTATCACCCCCATCGTCGCCCAACTCCACTGGTTTCTCATCACACAGAAGATACAATTCAAGATCCTGGTCCTAACCTTCAAACCCCTCCATGGTCTTGCTCCCCCTACCTCTGCAACCTCCTAACCCCCTACCACGCTACCCACTCCCTCTGCTCAGTGGGTTCTGGCCTGCTTCACGTCCCCCGCCTCACCCACCCCACCATTGGCAGGCGGGCCGTCAGCCATTCTGCCCCCACCCTCTGGAACTCCATCCCGCAGTCCCTCCACCTTGCGCCCTCCCTTGCCTCCTTCAAGACCCATCTCAAGAGCCTCCTCTTCGACCATGCTTTCGATCGCCCTGCCTCCCCCTCTGCCCTCCACACTCCCCAATCCCGAACCCCCACCCCCGGGCTCGTGTCCAAAACACTGACGGTCCAGCATCTTGGGACATCCTCCTGACATGAAACGCACTATACAAATGTGCTTTTGTTGTTGGTGGTGTTGTATTCCAAAATCAGTTCCTGTACATCTGTACCATAGATAAGTCCAACCTATTGCCATCTTCAGAGATGTCTTCAGAGATACGCTTTTGTTGACTAGCCAGGATATGTACTGGAACAAAACCAGGAGCAACTTCCTTAGCCAGCTCACATCTGCTTCAGTTTGGTTCAAAAGTACCTTCTCCAAATGCCTATTGTATAATGGGCTGTATGGATAACAAAACAGAGTACTGATAATTGATAGTATTGGCTACTAATTTGTCTTCAGATGTTACAATTAGTTTTTTTTCAGTACTGTCATTTTCCATAAAGGAATGAAATATGAATGCATGAAATATGATGGTTTCCAGAACTACTGGAAACATGGAAATGTCAAGCCAAGTGTATTTCCCTTCACGCTGCAAAGTGCTCCAAGCCGCCATACGGCATTAAGGGTGCTATAAATGCAAATTGTTGTTGTTGAAACAATTGAATAAAAAGCCTGGAGTCAAATGTCACCCTTCTTACCTGAGTTATTGTGTCCTGTGGAGCTGTTGCGAAATTGGGTGAGGAGAAAGTGAATCCACTGTCAGTCCCAGCATCATAAGGGTAAAGATCAAGTGTAATATCCTCCTTCCAGTCTTCCCCTTGACAAAGAATAATGCTGTCATATCCAACAAACCAATCTGGGCTTGGGACTATCCGGACCATAAAGGACAGCTGAAGAATAAGCAACAAATAAGCTATGATGAGATTACAAATGTTCTCATTACAGCACTTCACAAAAATGTCTCCTCTCCAGTCCAGTCTCTTCTGCATGGAATCTGATGTGATTTATCCCCTGGGAAAGGTGCAATATAAGTTGCTGAGGGAATTTGCTCCTCAAATTCATTCAAAACTTCTCATATGAATCTTACAGATAAATGGATTGTTGAAAAGGTCATTCTACATATCAACCTCCTCCTATGACAATCTTATTCCTCTATGAGAGCTTTCTTGTGACTCATTCCATCTCTTGAGGGAAATCTCTCATTGTTCTCAAAGTTAAATCAAGCAAAACTTCAGATACACACCCACCTTACATCCTCAGTCACTCCTCCAACACCTGCTAACTTCTTTAACTTAACACTTCATGATTCCAGCAGTTCTGGAAGCATCATATTTCATGCAGTATTTACTGTATTCTTCTGTACTTTTCCCTATAACCTTTCATCCAATTCTTTCATCCAGTACAAGACCATCAAGAATAAGATACAATACAAAATTACATTTGTGTAGCGCCTTTCATATCTCAAGATAGATCATAAAGATCACTCATCACAGAGCCCTCAATCTACAATACTTCCCAGAATTAGATTTAGGGCCGACCATACAACAACAACAAAATTACATTTATAGGCAGGGCGAAACCTTGGGCAAGTTTCCTTACTCCACACGCCTTAATAATAATCCCTCCAAAACCCAAAACAATAATAAATTGGTCATTTTCAATCTACGGCTGTTTGTGGGACATTGCTGTGCGCAATTGGCTGCCGCGTTCGCCCACAAATATACAGTCAATTCACTTTACAGTGTGTTCTGTGAAGCGCTTTGGGACGTCCTCCCGACGTGAAAAGCGCTATATCAAATGCAAGGATTATTATTATTATTATTATAGAGCGCCTTTCACATTGGGAGGACGTCTCAAGGCGCTGGACAGTCTGGGGTCAGAACCCGAGCATGGTGTAGGGGTAAGGGAAGGCAGAGAGGTGGGAGGGCGACTGAAGGCACGATCGAAAAGGATGGTCTTGAGATCGGCCTTGAAGGAGCCTGGTGAATGAGAGTACATGAGCTGCAGAGTTTTGGATGATCTGCAGCTTGTGAAGGGAAGAGTTGGGAAGGCCGATGAGGAGGGAGTTTCCATAATTGAGTCTTGATGTGACGAATGCGTGGTTGAGGGTTTCGGCAACCTGAGGGGTGAAGCAGTGGCAGAGTCTGGCAATGTTGTGGAGGTGGTGGTAGGTAGCGCCGGTCATGGCGCGGATGTGGGAGAGAAAGGACAGTTCAGGGTCAAACACGACACCCAGGTTCCTGACTGGCTTAGTGAGGTTGAGTGTGCAAACGTGGAGGCTGATGCTGCCAGCGCCTGAGGTAATGAGGCGCTGGCGCGAGCCAATCAGATGGGCCTCAGTCTTGCTGACATCAGTTGGAGAAAGTTGTCCCTCGTCCAGGACTTGATGTCGGACAGACAGTCGGTCAGGATGCCAGTAATCCTGGAGTTGAGGGGAGGCAGAGAGATAGAGTTGGGTGTCATCCGCAATCATGTGGAAATTTACCCCATGTCTGCAGATGATGTCACCAAGGGGGAGCATGTAGAGAGTGAAGAGAAGGGGATCGAGGACAGAGCCCTAATATTATTTACCGTAATATCCCCCTCTCAACACAGCTGTCATTTGCTTTCTTGTAACTTTCACTGCTTGTCAATTATTCACTGTCTCCGGTCTGCCTGTCCATTGACATCTCTACTGTCCGTCCATTGACACCTTCATTACCAAGGCACTAGCAATGTTAGTTTCTATTAGAAAAACCCAGGCTAAGACTTTTTCTGGGGGGGGGGTCAGCCACATGCAGAAACCCATCACCATGCATAAGAATATCCAAACCAAGCTGAGATTTCCATGCATCCCACCTACACATGGAAATCCCAGAGAGAGATTATTGGAGTGGAATGTGCACTGTTTCCCTGGAGGAAGGCATCCTGCTTACCTAATTCCGGAATGTATTGTGGGTACTGCTGGAGTCTAACCAGCTAAAAACGCATAGCTTGCCATTGATATTGCTGTTCGGCAAGCTTTCCCATTGCTTGTCCAGCTAGGATCAACCTACCTGTTAAGGCTTGCTTTGCAGAATTAACAGGAGCTGAGAGGGATGACTCTGCCCTCAGTGACTGGTCTGCCCTTCCAGATCAGGCTGATGAGCCAGGCAGGCTGTGCTGACATCAGCAGTGCCATGTAATACTAAGACCCATGTTAAGCACTTTTGGAGTGAAAAAAATAAATAGAAAACAGAAAGAGACAGGAAGCATGGCCAAACTTGAGTTGTCAAATGCTTTATAGAAAGCGGAGAGTGAGGAAAGTAAGGCATTTTACACTCTTGAGGTTCATTTGAATGAATACAATGAATTTTAATTGAAACATTTAATTGGAACAATAATAAATTGGTCACTTCAATCCATGACTGCGTGTGGGACGCTGCTGTGCGCAATTGGCTGCCGCATTTCGCCCACAAATATACAGTCAATTCACTTTACAGTATATTCTGTGAAGTGCTTTGAGACATCTAGAAGACGTGAAAAGTGCTATATCAAATGCAAGGATCATTATTATTATTATTATTAGTGAAGGAATAGGGAAGGCGGAGACCATGAAATGTATTTAGAGGTTGGGAGGACCAAGATAGGAAGGATGGGATGAGTAATGCCCATGATTTTATTGGTAACAGAGAGAAAAAGAAAGATTATGTGTTTCAACATGAAAGAAATTGTGGGGTGAAATTTTATAATTTATTCCTTGTCATAATTATCACAAGGAACACATTATAGAATGTATTATCCTGTAAATTATTTTATGATGTAAATGTCACCCCTGTATTAGTTACCGTTCCTTACCAATGGGTGTGTTGGATGGATCAGTAACATGATCGACGTCTCTCCTACCCCACTGCGGATGGCTGGTGCAGTGAAGTAGCCTCCAATGCTGTGTATCTTGTTCTTGGCCTTTTTTATCTCCTGTTTCAGTGTGGCATTGGCACCTTTCTCTGCAAACTCCCGTACCCCTGGCCTAGCCTTGGAACCCAAGCGCCACAGTCTGTATTTGTTGCTGTGAGTAACAGCTGTATTGGAAAATGAAGCAAATCTTAGAACGTCAGCTTGGCTCAAGCAGTAGCATTCTCTACTCTAGGTCAGAAGGTTGTGGGTCTACGCCCCACATCGGGATTTTGAGCTCCCAGTCTAGGGGTTGACCCTCCAATCCTGTGCTGGGGAAGTGCTGCATCAGAGGTGCCATTCTTTAGATGAGATATTAAACCAATGTCTAGGTGGTCTGTTCAGGTGTGTGTTTAACATTTCATGATATTATTAAAGATGAAGGGAGTTTCTCTCGGTGTCGTGCCCAACAATCCCCCAGATATCAATGGTCATTCACTTTGTAACTGTTTTGGGACATTGCTGTTCAAATTGGCTAATGCATACAACAACAAAGCAGTCATTAGCCTTGACAGCAAATATCTGTAAAGGCTTTGAGACATTTTGTTGATATGGGTGCTTAATCAAATACAAGGATAATTGTGTAAGCCCATTATTTCAGGTGAGTACTTGAGTCCCTATCAAAAGGTCATAAGTTTAAAGATTACGGGCTGCCTGTTATTCAAATATGCATATGCCTTATTTCTTTAGATTGCTTTGCTTTCACTATTCATAGAATCATAGAATTATACAACAACAACAACAACAAGATTTCATTCATAGAGCGCCTTTCACGTCGGGAGGACGTCCCAAGGCGCTGTACAGTTGGGTCAGGACCCGAGTAGGGGGAAATGGTCAGGGTGAGGGAAGGGAAGGGAGGGAGTGAGGAGGGGGTAGAGAGTCGAGAGGGGAGGTGAAGGCACGGTTGAAGAGAAAGGTCTTGAGACCGGCCTTGAAGGAGGAAAGGGAGGAGGCGGCGAAGGCACTCGGGGATGGAGTTCCAGAGCCTCGGGGCTGAAGGCCCGGCCATCGATGGTAGGGCGGTTGGGGCAGGGGATGTGGAGCAGACTGGAGCCAGAGGAATGGAGGGTACGGGCAGGTACGTGGGGGGATAGTAGGTCGGAGAGGTAGGAGGGAGCGAGGCCGGAATGGCCTTGTAGGTGAGGATGAGGATCTTGAATTCGATCCTCTGGGGGATGCGGAGCCAGTGGAGGTGAGCGAGGGTGGGAGTGATGTGGTCCCGAAGACCTGGTGCGGGACAGTACACGAGCTGCAGAGTTCTGAATGACCTGCAGTGTGGAGGGAGGGCCGGGAAGGCCGACGAGGAGAGAGTTCCCGTAGTCCAGCCTTGAGGTGATAAAGGCATGGACCAGAGTTTCAGCAGCGTGAGGTAGTGCCGTAGTCTGGCGATGTTCCGGAGGTGGTGGAAGGTGGTGCCAGTTGTGGCGCAGATATGAGGGAGAAAGGACAGCTCAGGGCCGAACAGAACACCGAGGTTCCTGACTGGCTTTGAGAGGTGGAGAGTGCAGCACAGAAGGAGGCCATTCGGCCCTTTGTGTCTCTGCCGGCTCTTTTAAAAGAGCTTCTCAAATCAATCCCACTCCCCCGCTCTCTCCCCATAGCCCTGCAGAATTGTTCTCCCCAAATAATTATCTACTTCTCTCTTAAAAGTTGTTATTGAATTGGCTTCCACCACCCATGATGGTACATTCCAGATCCCAACAACTCACTATGTGAAAAAAAATCTCACCTCCCCTCTATTTATTTTAACAGCTATTTTAAATCGGTGTCCTCGGGTTACAGACCCACCCGCCAGTGGAAATAGTTTCTCCTTGTTCGCCCTATCGAATCCCCTCATAATTTTGAAAATTTCTATTAAGTCTCCTCTTAACCTTCTCTGCTCCAAGGAGAATAATCCCAGCTTCTCTATCTCTCCTGATAACTGAAGTCCCTCATTCCTGGTACCATTCTGGTAAATCTCCTTGGTACCCTCTCCAATGCTTTGACATCCTTCCTAAAGTGTGGTGCCCAGAACTGAACACAGTCTCTAACTAAGGCCTAACCAGTGTTTTATAAAGGTTCATCATAACTTCCTGACTTTTGTATTCTATGCCCCTATTTATAAAGCCTAGTGTCCCGTAGACTTTTTTAACTACTTCATCCACCTGTCCTGCCATCTTCAAAGATTTACTTATATGAACCCCCAGGTCTCTTTGTTCCTTCACCCCCATTAAAATTGCTACAGGAAGAGAACTTTTTTAGGATACTTTGTGAATAGATTTCTTTTTATATTAGGAATATTGAAATGGGCTTCACACACCCATATTCAGCAAACTGAAACCATACGCATCACAGAAACTTAGCCAGTCAGCCCATCGAATCTGCACTGCTATTTTTCTCCCATAGAACCAATTAATATAATTCTACCCTCCAGGTTGTTTGCCACACGTCTTAATATTCCACTTTGTCAGGTACCTATTTGATTCCCTTTTAAAATAATTTATGAACTTTACTTCAACAAGTGAACCCCTTGCTGTAATCAGTAACTAAGAAAGTTTGTGCACTGTCGTGGTTATTTATAACCCTCTCTCCCCCACCCAGTCCAGATGTTCTAATTCTGCTATGCCTTGTGTGATGGACTGAATATGCTCCTCTCACCCTGCAATTTCTACGATCGGTTCTCTTACCTATGAGAGGCGACCACTGTGCAGGAGGTCTGTACCGAGGATACTGTTTGGGAAAGGCTCTGGGACTCCATTTGCCTTGAAACACCAGCGAATACAGGGCAGGACCCTGAGATGAGCAAGGCAGGACTGGCAACCCCTCACCAGAAACAGTGAGAAACAGCAACAACTCAAGAGCATTCCAAAGGCACAGGCAGAAGAGCGACTCCATCAGTCTTACCTGAAGGGAGGAGAGAGGTTGAAATCCTTTTTTTTTGTCAGTTGAACATCTGACCCATCACCATGCTTAAGAGTATCCAAACCATTCAACTATTTGCCTTCGTATTGTGTCTATTCATTAGGATCTTCCTAATCTGCTGTTAATGAGACCTGCTTTAAGGAACCATCAACGGGGTTGGATCTATTATAGAATGGAGATGCTTTAAGTTAACGGATCTTTGGTTTTTAGTGTCATCAATTTATTAAAAAGACATCCTCTAATTTTTTTCACTCCTCCCCTAAAGCTGCTGACTCTCATTAGGGCACGGTTCCATGGCTACTATTCTTCTTGTGGTACCCTGTCCAAGTGACCTTTCTTTATTTGTGAAGTGTCAGTAAGCAGCCAAGCCCCATTCTTCCCTGGCCACCTCCTTCTCTCCTCCTACGTTCACACAAAGAAGATAACATAAGTAGCAAACAAAACTAGGAGAGCACATTTTGAGGGATAGAGATATTCAAATCTAAATGCTATCAGCATTTCAATAAACAAATCCTCAACCTATAAGCTGCATTCAGAGTGGAAATTTAACCCCATATGGTTCAGTCGTCATCAAACAGTTATTTTTTATATATATATATAAAAAGGACCCACAAAAGCAATGGAGAGAAATTTGCTCTGTTAGTGATGAACAGTCAATCTGCTGTGCAATGACTAAATAATATAAATCAGAGATTGCACTTACTGTATGGTGAGAGAGGGGGTCGAGTTGTGTCAGGTTCTCCTCTCAGGAGTTCCTACAAATTTGTATAGTTCTTTCTGTCTTGGTGTGTGCGCCTCTCCTTCTCTTTCTCTCTGCCTCTATTTATATGGTATATATGCACTGCAGCCCCACACATGCTGAGCTTGGCTCGGAGGGGAAAGTGCACACGTTTTTGCTTAAACACCAGCATTTCATTTTGACACAAACAATAAGCTGCACTCTCATCATTTCAAGCTACTGCAACCACATTTATCAAGAGAGTTTTGAGGCTAAGCCAGAGGGCATTTCTCCTTTATTGCCAATATATCAAATGCAAGGATTATTATTTTAATTAATAATAATATTCTTTCCTTTTCCCCTCCTAGCCTCTGCCTCGTGCTGGGTACGCTTGAGGTGCCTCACCCAAGTTTCAATTATTTGTGAATGATTCCAGAGAGTGAATATTCAACTATGGGGCAACATTACAGTCCAACCTGACCTCACCCAATGTACACAGACAGATGCATACTCCAGCAGCAGTCATTGTTTAGTGATCAGAGAGCTGAAATGAGGGTCAGCATTATGTGTAATTGACAATGTCATCTTCTAAAGGGATTTCCCCATTAAATTAGGAGTCAAAGTTAGCACATGTAAAGACAAAGGAACTCTCTGTCTTCGGGAGTGGAAACCAAGCTGTTTTTACCTCTTGTAACTAATATTAATCTATCAACCACCCCAGCTGAACCTGGGGTGTATTCTGCAGGATTTGGTGCAACACTGAGCGGTCAGTGCCTTACCCCACTAAACCAACAAGTGAATATTTTCTTTCTCAAAATCATCACTTGTAGTGTGCATTGTCCCCCATTATAATTCTACTTCTACCTCCAAAGCCTTGCAACTGTTCACCATTGGCTTGCTAGCTCCAGTCTCTACAAGTTCCAACTCATCCAAAACTCTGCAACCTGTATCCTCTCTCCTGCCAGGCTCCAACCATTAACCCAAATCTTGCCAGGGTACACAGGCTCCCAGTCCCCTAGCAGATCAACTTTATGATCCTCATCCAACTTTCAAATCCCTTCACTGTCTTGTCGCTCCCTACCTATTCCATCTCCTCCGCTTGTTCTAGCCCTCTTCCAGTTCTGGCTTGTTCTTCGCTCGCTCCTCCGCTCCCTGCTTGGTGATTAATCCCTTTTGTTTCTGTGAAGCACTTGTGAAGTTCATCGTATGTGAAAGGAGCTATATACTAATGCACGTTATTTTTGTCCAAACTACTTCAGATAATGTGAATCTGCGCAGCGAATTTCAGCCCTTATTGATGATGAGAGAAATCAGGAGAAAAATTTCAAGTCGAAAATATATGAAAAGGTGGCAGCTTACCACAAAAAAAAGGAGAAACAAAATCAGAATTTTACAGCTGCAGATTCACATTTGACAAATTATGCCTCTGCCTGTTCCAGTTTTTTGCTCTCTCAAACCATTTCAAATGTTTATTTTCCAAATATTTATCCTATCCTCTTTAAAAGTTATTTTGGATTCTGCTTCAACCACCATTTTTAGTAGTGGATTCCATGTACTAATAACTCTCTGCCTAAAAAAAAATCTAACATTTCTCTTTTTTTTCCCAATACACTCTGGGACACTACCGTGTGTGAGGGGCGCTGTATAAATGCAAGTTGTTGTAGTTGGTTTCTTTGTAAAGCCTTAAATTTGTGCCTTGTAGCCACCGACTCACCAACCAGTGGAAATAGTTTCTCCCAATTTGCCTTGTTAAAATTCCTCACAAAATCCTGGAGGTGCTTGATGCTTGTGTTGGGTCAAGCCGCTCACTGTTGGATCCATTGGGGACAGCACATCAGCAGTGAATAGCTGCAAGACAAAGGTATAAACTCCAGAAAACAAACCAGTAAGTGCAAATTGGTATACATCAATTCTGGGAGCCAGTTCAAGACTAACGTACTCTCAGGGCCCTGGTGAGTGTATTGATCACTTACATTTCCCTCCCGCGAGTCTATTAAGCAGTTTGCCTGCAGTGGTAGAGGCATGTGAAAATCTGGAGCTGTCCTGGCCAAACTACAACATCTGGGCACCACATCTCGAATAAATAATGCTGACGTTTTTGTTTCTTTGCCGTGCTGTTTTGGGAGGGAATAAGGTAGAGTGAGAAATATAGATTTTTAAAAATAAATGTTCTTGTGATGGCACAGCTATGATCTGAGTAAAGGGATTTAAGATATAGTTTTTGTTTGGTCAGCCGGGTGTCTTGACACATGCAGAAACCCATGACCATGCTTAAGAGTGTCCAAACCAAGCTGAAATTTATAATAATCCTTGCATTTGATATAGCGCTTTTCACATCTTCTCGATGTCTCAAAGCGCTTCACAGAATATACTGTGAAGTGTAGTGAGTGTATATTTGTGGGCAAAACACGACAGCTAGTTGCACACAGCAGTGTCCCACAAGCAGTCGTGGATTGAGTGACCAAATTATTATTTTTTTTTCCTTAAGGGGTTATTCAGGCATGTGGAGTAAGGAAACTTGCCGAAGGTTTTGCCCTGACGGGAATCAAACTGAGGCTTCTCGCTTGCAAGGCAAGTGCTCTAACCACTGAGCTACAGGATTTCCACGCATCCCACCTTTTTATGGAAATCCCAGAGGTTGACTAGACCAAGACTTGGGGAGTTTGCATTGAGTTACTGCTGGAGTCTAACCAGCTAAAACCGCATAGCTTGTTCTTGATATTGATGTCAAGCAAGCTTTCCTGTTGCTTGGCCAGCTAGGACGACACTACCCATCAGGGCTTTGGCTTGCAGGGTTAACAGTAGCTGAGTGGGATGAATTCCTACCCCCAATGATTGGTCTGCCCTTCCAGGTCCTGGCAATAAGCCAGGATGGGCTGTGCTGTCATCAGCAGTGCCCTGGAATACTGCGAACCCGCCTGGCTCAGGAACTGGACTATCGAGACTACCAGAGAGGGCTGGCTCGATTACAACATTCCATTACCAGGTATGTCACCTTGGAGTCAGTTCAGCTCCAAGGAGACCTTGCTTGACAGTTATTGACTCGGGAGTGCAAATATTAAGGGATATGGTAGGAAGGTTCGGCAATGGGCTTTGGGAAGGTTGTGCTGTGCACCATACCAATCTGTCCACTCCCTTCTTTCAGAGGACACTGGCCTGCTCAGTGTCCCCCGCCCTGCCCACTCCACCATTGGTGGATAAGCCACCAGCTTTTCCGCTGGAACTCCATGCCTGAATCTCTCCCCCTGGGCAAGGCCCATCTCAAGACAGTGTGACCCTGACCATTCCTCTTTGACCATGTCTTTGGCTACATTCCCACCCCCAATCCCCCTACCCTCCACTCCTCTTAATTTCAACCCCCAGCTCGGATACAAGCACTTAACTGTCCAGTGCCTTGGGACGTCCTTCCAACATGAAAGGGGCTATGTAAATATAATTTGTTGTTGTTGTTGTTGTAAGTCATGGTCTGTGGTGGAGCGGGCTTCATGGGCTGAATTACTTTTTCTTGTTCCTAGCTTCCTAAGACAGCTAAGAGTGGAATTGCCATGGGCTCACCTTCTATGAGCCATTGAGTGATAATGATAATAAACATAGCATTTGATGTACCACTTATCACACCATAAAAACAACTCAAAGCCATTCAGTGATTTATTGTGCAGTGTAGTGACTGTGTACATGGGAGTAAAATTGGCAGTTTCTCACAGGAATGTCCCACAAACAGGCATGCAGTGACAGGTTTTATTTGGGGGATTGTTGCTCAGGATGCTGTTGGTGGTGCTGCCTGGTGGACAATGAACGGCAGAGTAGGAACTCCCAAGTTCCATTCCCAGTCTGTGCTGAGCCAGCTGAACTCAGCTGGGCCAGACGTAGAAAGCCCCAAAATTGGCCTTATAACCCATCTTAAGGAAATCAAAGAAAATCAGTCAGAGTTCCCGTTCCTGCCCAGGATCCAGTCACTCCTGCTGGAAATTGTGTGTATATATATATATATACACACACACACACATATATATATTATATATACACACATATATATAGATGTCAGTTCCCACCTTGATAATTTCAATGCCCTCCTTGCTGGTCTCTTCAACTCCGCCATTCACAAAATCCAACTCATTCAAAACTCGTCTGTCCATATCCTCATCTGCACCAAATTCCGTAACCCCATTATCCCAGTCCTTGCCAAGCTCCACATCATGGAACGGATTGATTTCAACATTGTCACTTGTCCACAAATCACACCATATCCTGGCAC